AATATCACCCGCAACTATGTTAAACCCGACAACTAAGACCACAACCCACTTTGTCGTAAGTCAGGGCACGTGGCATTATAATATTGATCGTTACAACAAAACGTTGCATCGGCCTTAGAAAGACAACAAGCCGAAACGTTAAAATAGAGCCATAACAAACGGCTTTCCCTAAAAACAAAGCGTTAGATGTAACAGGCAAGCAGGAAAACGACAACCTTGTCTACACCCCAGCAGAACTTGCGTAATTAAACTCACTCATTTAATTGTTCCAAGAGTTTCAAAATTGCAGAATATCTAAATTCATTTATTTAATTTTGTCGAGGGTTTGGCGGTGTCTTTGATGTTATTTTTTATAGATAGCATCTTTCTTACGACCGGACGGAGTTGTAACGCAGTTCAAACAGGAAATTGTTATTACGTTTGTTTTTCATGGACTGTTACCAGTTTTATTCTGAGAGCTGTTGCGAGCAGAAGGACAGTGAGAAATGCTTCAGTAGACAGTTATTCCCGTAATCGAGCACATGTGGCACTAAAGACATCAACGGCAACATGTTTTGACATGTTGTTTCTAACCACACGGTGTCATCATTGGGATTGTATGGCGTGAGTGATTTAGGGGTGTTCATGTAAGTATCTTTCATGTGGCGATGTTTAAATTAAATAGTGTAAATAATATGAAATAATAATATAAGTCCATAAAATAAAACCGTTTAATAAAACCAAAATTGTAACATCAGCATAAATGATTTCATTTGGAAAAAACCCTGATATACCAACGCTTAATGTACCGATGTGGAGAAAAACAGAAACGAAAATGTGGTTACACACCTTATTCACATTTAACACAGCAAGGGATTATAATTTTATAATACTCAAATATATCAGCCGTTATAATAATTTTTATATACGTTAGAATAACCAATTCCTTGTTCATACATTTGGTCTCATTTTAATATCATTTGATATTATTAAAGGTTCTTCCAGGGGTTTGAAAGTCGTGTAATCACAAACAAAATCAATGGAATTATCACCAAACAGCGTTTCAACCAAACTCAATCACTGGACATAATATTTTGTCACATTGGTGAGTATTGTCCACAACCTCCGGTAGCTGAATGATGACGGTATTCCTGCCAGGGAATAAGCTGAGATACTGTTGTTCCCAATGATGAGGCGGCCTAACTTCATTCATGACATTGCTGTGTTAAAATATGACTGAATTATATCTAACATGACTAAATTATATATAACATTGATGTGTTAATAGCATGTTTGAATTCATACATGGTCCATGCGTGTGGTTTGGAGATTACCCAGGCGATGGTAAATTTAACTCACTACGTCCAGTTTAATGCAGAAGTATTTTCTCATATTTTTTATTGTAATGAGGACGTTGTTTTGTCCACAAGTGTCTGTCAAACCATTAATGTCTATGTGTTTGTTGAAAATAAAGTTTGATGCCATACTTTTTTCTTTAGACATCAAATAACAAGCATGTCTATTTAAGTTGAATTTGTATGTTTCAGGCATTGGATTGTATGTGCTCCTTAAGCTAACAAAGCTGTCTGTTTGAACATTGCAACACAACAACAATAACAATAACAGTAAAAATGATCTTTCTTGTATGAACACAAAGAACACTCGCTGGTGACAACACCACTTTTATATTGTACTCAAAAACTCACACAATACTTCCGACGAGGATCTATGAAGAAAAAACAAATTGTATAGTTCTGTCAACAGTTTCTTCCTGGAATGTAAACAAAATCCAGTTCATGAAGTAAATATGAATTTATCGGACGGTTTATGGCCGGGTAAATATGCATTTTCTTTGTTGTCGGAAGGTGTTAGCGGATGTTTGATAAAGATCGCATAAAGCCATCACGAGTGCTATGTTGACTCACTGGATTAATGTACACACTATGTAGACTCTGTTCACCGTGGACAACCTCACCACAGAGTACGGGGACGTCTTCAACAAAGACACCATGGACAGGGGGAAAGCAGATGTCATTTGTATTTAACGGGATCATATAGGACTGGTACATTTATGAACACATATGTTAAAATATTTAATCAGATTTGATAATTGATTTGTACATTTTTTGTTCTTGATATGGTTCGTGATTGTCACACTCTTGACAAGACGTGTTTGTTACAGGGCCCTGTTTCACAAAGCGATCTCAGCGCTAGGGGGATCGTAACTCACATACATTAACATAGACAGACATATTCTATTTGACATAAGCCATGTTGTCACCTGGTCATACATCATTACAATCTGTATTGGGTGGCGAGGACGTCATCCATAGTTTGCATTTAGTTGTTGTTTCTCAACTGGAATGCTTCATGTACATATTTTCTTAATTGTTTCTGACCTGTTATATTTTCTGCTGACATCAATTGAATGAATTTATATACCAATTATTTAAATAATATTAATGTGGCGTGATCTGAGATGATGATATAATGGACATTTAATAACAAAACGAAGCTCGTCTTCTAAATCATTGTCCTCACAACTTGCACAAAGCATTTCGGTGGAATAGTCTTACGATCGTTCTTACACTAAGATTTCTTTGTGGAACGGGGCCCAGGTGATTATTGTTTAGTGCACATGACCCCACTTTAAGTCCGGATATTCGAATTTGGTCACATTTGTTAACTCTTTTGTACTGTTTTGCTTTTAGATTTTTAGGTACAGTTTTGTTCTGAGGATGTGTTTTTATAACCGTTTAGTCATTCGTATATTATCTCATTTGAAAAGGGCTTTGAATAACATGTTATTTCCGAATTCCTGACACAAATTCAAGCAGATATCGGGCGGTGAGACAGCTTAGTGGTTAAAGCGTTCTCTCGTCACGTCGAAGTCCCGGGTTCGATTCCCCACATGAATATGTGAAGTCCATGCGAGTTATAGGTGATATGGATTGGATGTCACTCACTCACTTAAGTGTAGGTGCAGGACTGTAATAATTGTGTTTCTTTTCTCATTTGAAGCTATGTACTATAAATGTCTATTCTCATTTATATATTTTACATTCATTTCAGGTGTTTCTTGTTAGGGTGGCTGATCTAATAACTCACCCATGGTAGTAAAAGGGGAATAATGTTGTTGCGGAGGCCAGATTCACTGTACGTGTTGTACCCCGTTAACGTGAATATTTGCTCAGGTTTTCATGCATTGGGCTGCTTGGTTCTAACTGGATTGTTCTGCCGTGATACTCCTGAAATACTGCTGACTGCGGAACTCAACAATTTTCACTCACTGTGATCATCCCTTAGAATATATTTTTGACACGAGAGGAAATTACTTTAGTTTGTGTGTCTTGACGCATAACCGAGATGATGACATTGTTACATACAGATCAAACAATCAGCTAAAAGCACCCGCATCCGAACCATGAGAAGTATGTATTGCACGTGCATTACGCGTCATTAATCTTTGATAACTTTTAAGCAAGAACATATTCTTTAGTTTTGTTTTGCAAAAATGAAACAAATGTGTTCTACGGGCCATAACTTATTGATCGTGATGTCATGGGTGCTTGATTCTTTTGTAGAGGAAACTTGATACGAGTTAATGTTATAAAAGCGTGAATTATGAATAGGAACTGAAGTACTTCGCATTACAACTTCTGATAATGGGTAGAAGAATGTGGCAGATGGTTACTAAATGTTGCAGATAGGGTCTTTTAGGGCGATTTTGGTTACAAGTGTCTTTGTTATTTTCTGATAATTCATTATTTTTTATATCCATCCCAATAAACAAATTAATGATACCTTTTGGACCCGCGTATGTTGACCCATTGAGTATTGATTAAATGTTTTATGGTCGGCAGGAGTGTGTGTAAAGGTTTGATAAAGCCGGTTCAATTGATACAACATGAATCAGTTTTACAAAATGGGAGAAAATTGGTTTGAATGGACGATATTAAAATAGTCCTACTGGTTTCTGTATGTGATAATACACAACGTTGTTGCTGTTATTAAAATAGGTTTGGTTCAACGAGTTTTGAAATAATTGCTAGATTGGAGTTGTCATGCATTTTACTCTTTACAAACGTGCCTCGATTTATGAAGCAGTTGTCCCGAACGTGTCAGTGTTATTTGTAACATGTAATAGTGAACATGTATCAACGGTACTGAGATTATATGTACATATATATGATATATTTGTTTCTTACTTGAAATACAATGAAACACACATTGTAAACAATCGTATAATTATCTCATGGATGTGAAATAATCGTTATCAAAATTTCGATAATTATCGAGATAAAAAAATCGAATTTACATATATGTACATACATATCATAACATAAAAACCTGAATATAGAATTAAAAGGGATACGAAAGCGTGACTATTTCGGAAATTTCGTGTATTTTATTTTTATCGTTATCATGATTAACTTTATCATCACCAACCTTCTTCTTCTTTTTCATCTTCTTCTTCTTCTTCTTCTTATTATTATTATTGTGCAGATAAACATTTAAAAAAAGGTATCAAAGAGATTTTGGGTGATCTTGGCACAGCCAGGCTGGTTATGCTCGTTATCATTATTGTTATTGTTATTATTGTTGTTATTGTTATTCCAACTCGACTCGAAACGAAATCACGAGTTCATGCCCTGACTGAAGACAGTGGTTAAATGAAAGGTGGTAACATAGAGCTCTAAACCAAAACACTACTATCGTCATCATAAACATATTTTTAGTACTAGTGCTTAACAAGTCATGTTCATGTCAACATGCACACCAGATTCACGTCTCCTTAGTGAGAAGGACGGAAACAGAACTAAAACTGTCGTGAAGGTTCACCACTCTCTCTATTGGAAAACTAACATGACACTGACATATAATGTACAACAATTCCTACCTAAAAGTTCTCATGCATCTTTTAAATGCACTATTTTACAATATGTTACCGTGTGGTATATACACGACAGCACCTGTATAAAAACACTTGACATAGGAATGTCTAACAGTCAAACGCTTACCTGTATATCTCCACACCATTATCCAGACATACTGCACCCGTTTGAACGTTCGTCTGATTTGGCCAGCATCTTGAACACAATTAATGCCACACAACGACAGGTCTGTGAATCATGACACGGACTGCCAGCTAGCGTCGGCCGCATGCAAATGTGTGGCAATTGAATATTAATGCCTAACCACAGTAATTATAAATGTTCATTTGCGTTGCAACGGTTGACATCATCACAATGGCGTGTTTCGTTCTAGAGGGTGACGCGTCCCTAATATAATCATCGGTATCACATTAGTACAGGGTCTAATTCATATTTTCCAAAATATCATTTATTTTTTAGTTTTTATTTGAGAACCATGCATATACACCCCAACGAATGCGCCACTACGTCACACGCTGTTGAAAATGATGTCAATATTTAATGTAGTCTTGTTTCAGCTATTTGAATATTTACACCTGTGCCAGGTAAAGCCATACTCAGATCGTATTTTATTGGCTAACAAGGAATCTTGTGTCTCCGCTCAAGTATAGCCCACTAGTCGCATGGCCGGTCTTTTCATAGCGTGTCGCTATGGCTGACTGATGTATCGATTTCGTAGAAGACGCTTGTTTTTTCAGATAGAACCTTAGATTTTCGTGGCAACGGACTGCCTTCAGTCTCGAATGACTGCAGATCAGGCGAGACGCCGTTCACGGCAACGTCTTCAGAATAAACAATATGAAATTTAAATCGTTGACTGCTCCGGGGATTTAACGTAGCGTCTCTATGTTTGTAGGCTTGTTTGTGCCCAGTGGTTTGCTGTCACGCATGAATTTTACGCTTACTTTAATAAGCGTCTTTGTTTTATTATTTAGGCTGTGGAGATTTGGTTGGTGTGGGTGTGTTGTATCCCCTCCGTCGTGCCAGGACTGAAGTGTGGCGTGTACCGACTTGACACTGACTGAAGAGTTAAAACACTGGGAGAACACAGAACTCCGAGACCCGTGGGAACAATGAAAATTTGAATCACAAAGTAACAATTCATGAAATATTAAATGGGTAATTTTAAAGTCGAAATTTTGCAAATTACCGAGATACGTAATTGTTTATATTATTTCTATATAAACGAGATGGTATGTTTCATGTCATGATCTTACAGTTTGATAAAATAAGAACAAGGTAGACACCTAGAAACACACATTTACGTCGATTTAAGCATTGTTTAAACCATGTTATGGCGGAAGACGTCAAGGTGTCTCATATTCAATATGTGAGGAATCGAAACCGGGTCTACGGCATGACTATCCGACGCGATAACCATAAAGCTACCCAAGCCTATGAAACAGAACGATCTTTCTGATACAGGCAATGTGTGTGTCCCCGTGTCCCCGCCGTCATATTACTGGAACGTTAAAGGGTGGGTGAAATGGGTCCAAGATTATTGCATTTATATAGCGACGTGCACCTACGTGTGTGTGTGTGTGTGTGTGTGTGTGTGTGTGTGTGTGTGTGTGTGTGGCTGCTTGAACTGGTCCGGAGTGATGCCGATTAAAAGTGCTAGCTCACTAAGATACCATGCCGCAGTTTTACATGAATACCCCACTCAGACACAGTATACTTGCTCCGAGCCGACCAGTCCTTGTTTTTGACCCTTAATGCCGAGCGCCAGACAGGGTAACAACAAGTACCATCGGTAAACGTCTTTTGGTATGACGCGGCCGGGGATCGAACCCCGGACCTTCCGCTCTCCGGGCGGACGCTCTACTACTAGACCACGGAGGCGGTTGGAACGTTAAAGGCGGCGTTTAAATCTATTCACTCACTCAAAGAAACAGTCAGCAATATCACAGCGGGTGATACCAGGGCTTCACACAGCATGTTGATGTGCCACCCAAACTCATTAAGATTCTACCAATCTCGTCTAATCAGTATTCGAGCCATATTAAGGCGGGGGAAACTAGGCATGGGCTTCAGTAATTGTACCAACGTAGGGAAGCAAACCCGGGTCTTCAGCGTGATCAGCGAACGCTTGGACCTGTAGGCTAGCCCACCGTCCCACTTTCAGTATGACAAACGGGATATTTCTTCTGCGTATATTTTTAGTCACCCAGATAAAATAGTCATTAACATTGCAATTTTCTCTTGGTGGATCAGTCAGTCATGTGAAAGAACAAATTTCATGTAAAAATTGCTAAACAATGGATTAAATATTACGTTGAAATAAATGTCATCGTGAAGTTGCCCGAACGTTCGCACCTTCACTGTTGCACACATAATGCACGTCGTAGTGGTTGTATCATTCCACATACAGTCATCCGGGCGGTGAATAAGCCATATTCTCACAATCCTCACGCCGATTATCTGTACCGTTTCTCCTAATACCAATTGCAATTTCTCTCCCTCTTTTGGATGCAATCGCTCGGCCACTGCGTTTATCTGTGTAGCTGAGCGACATCTATGGGGAACAACTTACAAGACACGTCCCTCTAAAATATAACGTCATTCAATTAATGACGTCATAAAGTTACGAGCGCATTTTCAAATATCCAGAAATGACGTCATGAATAATGATTTATCGTGATATAAACCACGCTTCGTTCTTCATTGTTCTTTGTGATCTTTCGCGTAGCTGTCTTATATGGTCAATTCAAAATGTACATGCATTACAATTATTTAGTCTGAAATTATAAAAACAAATATTTAAAAGTCAGCTTTAGTTTTGTCCGGACACGTTCTGCAAACCCCCGCCTGTCATATCCAAATGATCCCCACCAAATTGCCTCGACCACCCGTCCCCCAGCTCAGCACGTCCAAGAAACACTGGACACCACACGCGCTACCCTCAACCTTCTGTTCGTGTTTGCATAAGGAATTTTTCGTGTCGTTTTGCGCTATAATCTTGTTACTTAGGGGATGATTGCCGTATTGGTGAGGACTTGATCTTCCCTGGCTGGTAACAAGATGCAATCACAACACTCACGAAGATAAGATACGGCAAAGGTTCAAAAGTCACCGGGATCTGTTGGAACCCGAATCCCTGGTTCATCAGCAGCTTTGTCTGGATGAAGAATCGTGCCAGGGTCGGAGGGATGTTCTTGAGGTTTGCGAAGATAACTCAATTCAGTAACGTTGACAGAAGATTATTTTTTGTTATCGTTTTGAGTAACGTTTTTGGACGTGTTATGTTTTGGATACTTTTCAGAGCTTCGTTTCATTGACATTTTTGTAACGTTGATCTGAACACGCACATGTTCTCTCTTATCCCACGACGGCTTAGAATAAATATGGTATGTTAGTTTGTCTATAAGATGTTGTGTTAAAGATGTATTGTTTGTAATTGTGTCAGTTTCACTGATGATGTTTTTGTTACAGTATTGTTGACAAAAACCTCAGACCCTTGTGTAGTCCTCAGACCCTAAGAGTGAGTGAGTTGGGTTTAACGCAGCTTTTAACAGTATTCCAGTTATATCGCGTCGTGTCAGCTTAATTAGGGAGGAAAGCCCGAAGTGATGCAGGTCTCAGACGTTTACCACTTCAGTGAAACCCACGAGCACGGGTATGGTGCTGACAAACCTAGAAATATAATCGGGGCGAACCGGGATTCGAACCCACAATCATAGTTTTCTGGCGTGCCCAAGGGACGCAACTCCGCACAGCGAATCGCAGCGCCTTAGGCGACTGGGCCACCCGTGCCCCCTCAGCGTTAAGACGCTGATGGAATGACACAAGGGTCGGAATTAAAGGCAAGCATACCTCTTGCTTGCTTGATAACGGTGTTAGAACCTGCACCGAAACGTCCTCCTCCTTGTAATACAGAACTTGTTCATCCATGTATCTTATCCTTACTTAGTAATCCAACTTCTAAATGCCTCTCAAAGAAGTGAAGCATACCTGCTGACAAGACATCCTATTTATATTTAAGGACGTCTGGGTTATTTATTCACACAAACATTTAAACCAAACGCCGTGATATATACAATACTCGGACATAATGCGAAGTGTTCCCTTTTTTGTTTCCATCAGTATATATTGAAAACAGAAGCCAAGGATTGCAGTGTAACACATGTAATGAACATGATTTTTATACTGTGTGAAAATCACATTTATACCATGTATATATGTTAACGATTTCAGAATACCTAGATTCCAGGAAAATACAAATATCGCCTTCATTGTGTGTTTTCACTGTTTCTTTGACTGTAATAGCATGTAAGGAATCCATTAATTCTGTGTGACGTATACCATTCGTAATATGTTGAAAATTAAATAGATTTCAATCAGTCAAAAACATGATTTAACAGTAATGATCCTGAAACACGTGCCACGTTAACAGGTCTCGTTGTAGAAACTGATCCACCGAGAATCATTATAATTCTTCCACGCAGAAAAAAACATACCACTATTACTGATGTTAATTAACCACAGCAGTTTCCTCGTTATGAATAAATCCAGTTACTTTATCAGCTGATGTTGGGGACTGATCACGCTAAGGGTTAATCAAGACTGTGATTAACACCATCGCTTTTTTACAATGTAGTGTCTCAGTTTCAACAGGGAGCGATCATTATTTCGCGCGAACGCTTTCGTCCTTCTTATTCTATTCAAATATGTTTATCCTAGCTCGCGGATGTGTCCCGGAGGAATTGAATTTTGTCCACGGGTCGAGTCGCCAGGTTGACAAACAGCCCAATCTGTTCCGTCCAAAGATGGAGAAGAAAGCGAATTACCTGGATGGCTTACCAGGTGTAATCCAGGTGGTAATTAGCCACGGACAGTGGTCATCCTGGCTCGTGCCCTGGGCAGCCACGTGACTACTTGTCATTGACATATTGACATATTCTGTGACGACAATGGCGACAGATGTGTGAGAGAGGGCGATGATCACACTTTAAGTGTTAAATGTGGTGTAAGTTTCTTCCAAAGGTGACAGACGAAGTGAATGACATAAAATCTCTTTAGTGTTGGTTAAGATGTCGACATTGTTCCGTGGAATTGTCGTCCAGCGGAAGTAATCGAATTGGACCGGATCTGCGATCGTGTCATGGATTTGTAGTTGAATGAGAATGGATTTGTATGGAATCACATGTGGTGCCGGTTACACGTGATTATGTAAAATCGAGGGTCAATTCCACGC